TCTTTGATCGATTGGCTGACAAAAAGGAGAGGAAAATATAGTAGTTCACATGAACCTACAGTATCAGTGAAGTCAGAGCTTAAAGTGATTGTCTGGAGTTTGTCAGAAAAAAAGAGACAGAGGGGTACTTGATTTGAAAAAAACGACCCAAGCTCCCTCCCCCTTCCTTTCTGATTGGTCTACACCTACGTTTCCTTTACACATTTAAATGTTAATCAGAGAACACATTATACATATACATTATTAATACACATGCACAGAGGTTTTCAAAATTATTTGTTAACGTTTTCATGAAAAAAATAATGTTTTAATGCACAAAAAAAGCGATCGCAGCTAACCCGGAAGTAGCTATTATCATGATTTCAACATTATAGGACACATCTGCAGAGGATCTGATTATAGATATACAGTAGGTTCAGTATATAAATGGGTAACTCAGCACGGATGTTCAGAATTCTTTGTTCAGTTTTCATGAAGTTTCAGAGCCTAATAGAGGCTTGATTCGGAGGCTCCGCGAAAACAAACAACTGAGCATGAGCAGCTACGAGCATCAGCGCTGATGATTGACAGCCCTTGGCATCACTTGATTGGTTAACGTGGACGGCACCGTGGATTCTGAGCATAGACTGTATATATTATCTAAGAGAAGTGAAGGCGGGACTTACCCGTAATATTAGAATTAATAAAATGACTTATTTTATATCAACATTTAAGGCCAGGAGGTCAATTTAATACAATTCTTAAAATGTGTAATTCATTTAGAGTTCCAGACTATCACTTTAAGGGGTCGCCATGTGCCATGAAAAGAGTTGAATCTGGATGCCGGTATCGGAGTTGTCTCAGATTACACGCGGCTGATGTCTAAAGATCCCGGGTCGTTGTGTTTTAGTGCATATATTCGGGCTTGCGGAGGAGATGCTCTTCTGACAGTGTTGCTAGGAGACCACACACAGCGACTAGTGTGCAAGATTTCCGCCTCCCTCCCCCATCATCCACGTAGTCTGCTTTTCGCTGCTCTTTCCATCCGCTGGGCCTCTCCTCCTCTGCCTGCAGTTGCCCATATACTCTTAAATCAGCTGTTTCACATTTTATACACGCCTTTATTGCCCGCTGTAAAGTCGCGGTAAATCATCGCGCAATGGTATGACAAAATTAGGATACACTATAAATGGATTTAAAGTCAATCAGGGCTGATACACAACATGCAAGTCTGCATTTAATCCTGCTTTGATTGTGTTCAATCTATTTCAATGTAGTGTTGCCATGATACCAAATTTCAAAGTCAATTGTGATGCTAGAAGAAATACTCTATACCAACAATTTCAATCTTCCTCCTACTCCCTTTCAGGCAACTATTTTGGCTTATTTATCAGTATTTTTTTCCCCCTCTTATGCATGTTAGCAATACTTTATTTATTTTTGTTGGAAACTATGATGGACAAGATGTGACTTGTGCCTAATCTGAAATGCCTGAAATGAATAAATTATCAAACAAACAAACAAACAAACAATTACAATTACACAATTGCAATGCCACTGTGATTATTTATTTCTCTTTTTTGGAAATTAATTTTAACTTTTTTTACATAAAATAACTAATAATTTTTATGTGGCCACAAGATTTGAAAGTTTTTCCGATATATTTTTAAACAAAAAAAACGCTCAAGAAATGTCCAAATCTGTCTTTTATGTGCATTTTAGTTTCGTCTCTTGACTTCCTTGAATTAGAATCTAGTTTCGATCCTCGTTTTAGTATTGATTATTATCTGATTTTGAATGCTTTTGACAACCCAAAGTAACTATTATGAATAACAGCCACAGGAGTATTTTTAATGTGTTCATTTTGACCTCTGTGTTTCTCAATTTCTTTTCTTGAACTATCTTCACATCCTTACTCGCTGTTTCTTGATGCTGATCAGCATAAACAGCAATAAGGATTTTTCTGGGCTCCCAAGAAAAACATTATTTAGAGTCAATATCACAATTTTTGGTTCACATTCTATTAGTATTTTGTATTAAAAGACAAAACTGATAACATTGAATCACAGTCTGGCAATTTCATCAAAATAAACTTATGGAAGCTGAAGCAGTGCACGACTATATTTTCTCCGCCTGTTTTCCAGACCAGTTTCCTTGTTAAGCTGATTTACCATTGAACTCTGCACTCTCGACAATAAAAAGCATCTTCCTGTCTCTTCCATAAAACACAAAATACAGAGGCCTTTGTTTAAGGAGACAACATAAATATCTATGGTCATGTTGTCTCTGCATCATCTCTTTTATAATTCTGCCGCAGCTACTGTCTGTATCGGTGTTTAATTAGGGACTCCAGTGATACGGCTGTATATGTGGGAGCATGTGGTGTTCAGAACGAGACATTCCGCAGAACAAGACAGCCTGTACCACCGCTCTGCTCAGCCTTTGAGTCCAATTGTTCACCAAAGCACTCTTAAATACTGTTTTAGCTTCCATCACAATGGGGAAATTACCTATATATTATATTGTAGTTATTACCTAATGGCGCTGTAACAAAGACGACTTGTTCCTTGTGCATGTCGAGCCGGTCGCATGCAGTTAACTTTTACATCTTACAGGAGGCGGTGCCAACTCACTGTAAGGATCATACGGATGCATGTGAGTGATAGAAATACCTGAAACGGAATACAAGGTTGTATTGTGGAACATTCCAGGCATCTCCATGGAGACAAACAGGACAGTTTCCATCAATCACTGCAGCCTCATGCGTGTGTGTGTATGTGTGCGCACGTGTGTCTGTGTGTGTGTGTGTGTGTGTGTTTGAGTGTGTGTGTGTGTGTCGCACAGTGAAGAGTCGAGGCTGCAGTCCGCCACTTATACTGTGTCTAGACAGTGGACACTGTACAAGATGGCTCATCCAAATGTACCTTTTTGATAACCACTCTATTCTCTTTTAGTCTTTTAGCCTATCCCAATAATTACAATTATGCCTAATTAAACAAATGCCTAAAATTGTAAAAGTTTAATTTGTAGGAGTCCACTTGCCCCTTCATATTCAGGCCTGTCCTAAATACAGATTATTAGTGTTTATAGTTTGTAAAGGAGCAGAGTTTAACATGTGACAAACGTGATACGTTTTGTTAAAAGAACATTTCATTTTATTTGTTATTTATTTGGATGGATTGGTAAATGTTAACACATCTTTCCTTGTAGCCTTCATTATAGCCTTGGGCTTGGGAAACCGGAGCACCTGGGCAGGCATGGAGAGAACATGCAAACCCGGTGATTGAACCTACTGCTGCACCACCGTGCTGCTCATTTTGAAAACATTTGCTTAAGAAAGGTTGAATTATTAGTTTGATTGAATTGCATATTAATGCAAAGTACTGTATATCTGCTGGATTTTTTTTGAAATAAAAACAATAAAAACAGCTTGGTAAAGGGTACATTTCTGAAGATGTTTTAAACAGCTGTCTTCACATGTAAATGATTTCACATAATTGTTAATGGAAATTATTAGCATATATTTCATAATAAATATAGAAGACAATACATTCACATTGTTCTATACAATTGAACGTACTGGAGCTATGGTTGATGGGCTCTGCCTTTGTTTAACCGTATTGTGCCATTATAATAATGTGGTGCTTACTGTACATGTGAGAGTATGCTATGTGTTTGCTGTGCATGAATGCTTAATGAGTTGGCAATGTTGCATGTTAATGTAGTCAGACGAGATGTGGCTTTCTCATGCTCTAATGACAATAGTCTTTCGGACCCTTTGAGATCCTGGAATCAGAATATCTGGTAGGTTTGATAAGAACCAAACTCAATGGAATTCATTAAATAAACAATGGCTTTATATTGAATGACTGAACTGTTAAGATCAGTGTTTAGATCAGGGAACACACCTCACAATCCCACAGCTCAACAAATAAGTGGCCCAAAAAGATGAATTCATAATGTTTGTTTGACATCTAGAGGGAGGGGTCAGACTCCCTCTAGATGGATTACATTTTTATTAATTGATACTGATCAAGTTTTGTCCGTTTTGGTCTCAGTCATTCGACAATCAGATGGAGCTGACGGCAAAGGGCGCCTTGCCTCTCTGGCCTCAAAACCCAAATCAAAGCATGTCGAACAAAAGATCTTCCTACACAGCCTAACCTAATTAACATAGACTCTACAGCACATCCGTGACCACAACAGCGGAGCAGTGTCCAAGGTGCTGTGGCCAGTCCAGGAATAGAGCGGCCACATCAGGCTGTGACAAAAGCATGATCCAACACTCTGCTAGACATTAAGGTCCTGACCTGATCACAGAAATGCAGCGTAAGACAGCAGTTGTAAATCCAGAAACAGATATGTGCAGAGTCACTACACTACTTTAAAATGGGAACGCTGTGTATGTTGTATGTGATAATCATGCACATTCCTTAGACAAGATTTAAGCCAAAAGCTCAAACCAGAGTTCTAAAAGTTGTAGCCTGCCAAATGTGTTAAGTAGTACAATTATTAACCATCAGTAAAACTGAAATTACACTTGGCAATATAGTCCGCAAAGCTCTTGTAATTGGTGTAGGAATTTGACACGTATTTTGCAACAACTATAAAAACTGGCAACTATGCAGACTTTTGATATACAGGTATCTGGATCAAAGTTGTAAACACAATATTGTCTCGTCCCAGTTGACCCTGCACTGTTCAAACCACAACCCCCCAAAACACTGATGCTGCATTTCTTCATGTTCTGATGTTTCTGCTGGAAAAAAACCCTCTCAAACTGCGTATGAGCTGACATCTGGGCTTTTCTTAACCACTTGCGGTGTCCATATTCTCCAGTGTTGGACCATGATTTTTCTGCCTCACAACAGCAGGGCTCCTCGTGGCTCAGCGTGCACCAGATGACAAACTGCATTACTGTCTGCTGCAGCTAGGCCATCCCAGGGCCTGCAGCCAAACATGCACTACAGCTGAGTTATCATGCTTACTCAAATATTCATAACGAGATAATGAAAGCCGAAATGGTTTGCGTGGGATATACTCTGGAGGTTTGGGTGCAAACAACGGTAACTTTCTTCCCGAGTCAAGGCTGGTGTGGTCTAGTTTGTTGAACATACTTCAGTGTGTATTATTATTTATGTATACGAAATGAAGATACGTTCATTTACCATCAAATCAAGACCTAGAAACCAGAGGAAAGACTAGATGTTGTTCTCCAGTCTAGTCCGGCACTGCACACTCTGGTCAACCGTGGCGTGGGAGTGTATGAGGAGGTCTGATAAGCTTTATGAACTTTTTTTTTGCTATGAAACTGTACTGAATCTGACACTATAGAAAACATTTGGTGAAAGCTTCATCACTTGCTTATTTTTGAAAATGGTAATTACGCCCTGTCAGGATTTTCCCACACTTTGGTATAAACATATCTTTCATCTATTCACTTCCAGGGATCTTTTTTTTCTTTTCAATTTTTTTGACTTGTGACTGATTGCCAGTTTGACTCCGGAATCTTTATCAAATGGGTGGAATTTGGATCCAGTACAACTCTTTAACAGCTAACATCTCTACCAAACAGACAAACATAGAACACCTGAAAGGCCTATAAGGAGAACATGTTTCAGACCTGTTCTCCCAAAACTGAATCAACTACATTTTAAAATTCTTCACAGACATCCACTCCACAGATCTAACCTGGCCTGCCTTACATTTTGTAATACACATAATGTTAGAGGGCTACAAAGCAGTGGTTAATATTGTGGATGTTGCCAAAAGATGTTCTAGAACATTGTGGAGCAGCTACAGGAGGACACAATAAAGTTGCAGGATGCAGAAGAAATAGTATAAACAGGATGTTCACTCAGTCTTGATTGACTTCATCCACTTCACTCACAATGTTGTGTTTCTTCACTTTCAGGTGAGTTGTGGGCGGCTCCCGTCGAGACAGCAGCTCCGCCTCCTCCTCTGTACCATGAGCTCTGGCTCTGCACAGGATGTGGCAGTCGAGCACTTCCTGCGTGACATAGAGAGGCGGAGCAAGCGGCTGCACTGTGCTGTGATTGGCTGCAGCGAGGAACGCTCCAGCGGCGACATGAACCTGTTGTATCGTAAGAGTCGCCTGGACTGGAGGCACAGGGACCCAGAGAGCAGCCGGAAGAGGTGAGGGCATTGTCATGTGACCTGTAGTGTCAGAATAGGAGGAATTAAGGAATGAATGTGATCACATGTATAAATGTGTACACTGGAAATGCCTGTGAGCACTCAAAATGGAATCTCATCTCATTTAAACCTAGAGACCAGTGACCTGTTTTAAGGTGTTGAAATTATGATTCTGGCAGCATTCCATTGAGTGGGGTTAATTTTTATGAACGATTCTGTAACTTCATATGTGGCGGACTTTGACTTAACTTTAAGGTTACACTCAATTGGCTGCAGTATCTTACATGTAAGACTTGTGATGTTGCATGACCAGTCACAGTGTGTCATGTGGAACTCACCAGTGTTTAGTTTTGGGCTGTTTTGATCTGAACCAGGAGGCTTCGCTGACTCACAGCAGTAATTGGGCCTCTCTCATGTTTGGCACCAAAGACTCATAAGGACACAGATCAAAGTGAAATGTATCAAACATCCACCTGAAATGTTCTTCACAACAAATGTGTTACATCAACGATTCTGAACGATGATGAAAATATGTTAAAAATATGTCCTAAAAGACAGGAGACGGGCTTTTGTTTGAGAAAAATAACTTAACTATGTCTGAATAATAACTTACCTCTAAGCTCTAGATGCCTAAACGTTTCTTGAACATATTTTTAAGTGATTTTCAAACTGTGAGAATAATTAGAGTAATCAGAAATGATATTATGATATTTAGTTCCTTTGAGAATGCGTTTCCAAATTAATATTAAATGAATTTTGAAAAAAAGTGCAAAGTGCCTTTCAAATCCTATTAAAACTAGAATTCTCAATGATGAGCGGACGTTGTTCAAACTGACCTTTGAGGAGGCCCTCGAGGATCCGGTCAAATAAAACGTGTAATTCAATGCACGCAAATATAGAATAATTCTACTTCAGGGAATTCATTACGAGTTTTCCAGGCAAACAACGACAGTTTGTTTAGCCACTTAAACAGTATTTATATTATTATGAATTCTGTTTTTAGAATAATTAGAAAAACATGAACATAAATATTCACAGTTTACTTTACATTTAAAGATTGTTACATGGTGAAATGCGTGTTTTATGGTAATGAAAGAGAGAACAACCCTGGCTATTGTCAGATTAGTGTCATGTGTCACAGATGTGTGTTTTACTGATACAGCTTTGTTTAATGAGAGAATGAAATGCACATTACAGAAATGATATTGTACTCACTAAACTAAAGCCTCTCATGAGGGATATAGCTTCCACTCAGCCACTACCAACACCTAACCCTATCACCACAAAGAAAAGCACCAGTGATAATTGTAAAATCATAATCACTATGATCATGGGGATAATCCACATCCAACCAATGTGAATAATGTATAAAGCTACTATAAAACTGCACAGTAACAAATACAATCCATAAGCACACAGTACACAAACTTTATTTTGCAGTTTGACATTTCACTGCACATCATTTCCACATCTGTCACCGTGGTGACGGATTAATGAATGCGATACATCAGAGGTCCAGATCACATACCTGATTGAGGAATTATTAATATGATTTGATTGCGGTTAATTGCATACTCCTTTGGAATGAAAACACCTCCATACTAATTTCCTTTTAATTCAGACACAGCCACGTGAGATGATTTTGAATTCATACGTCTGAGTGCTTTTACTGACGCCATAAAAGTTATATTTCATATTACAGCACTATTACTCAGAGAGAGTGGAGAGAACATGCAGTGGGACTCAGAACTGCTTGCTCTAACCTGAAGTACTGTATGTGCACTGTTGAGCCTTGTCAGCTGCTGAAACCATGGAAGGAACGAGCTGTACTTGAACCGGGACTCACATGCGAATTTTAGTGCTGTTTTCTGGACTATATTTGGATGTTCGTAGTGTCTCCATTGATTGAGGAGTCACAAGCACATTTCCACAGGCGTCCAAAGGCACAAGTCTGCTTTGTTAATAAAGCAGGGCAGCTCAATATGTGTTCTCAGTCTTTCCTGTAAACTGTAAGCTTCAATTGTCTGCTCTCCACACTCTCCACACTCCTCTGCCTCTCAGCCATCTCATCTGATCCAAAAGAGAATATGCGTGACCTGCAGTCGTATGTCACGTTATATACGATGATGAATCACTTAAGCGCGCAACAACAAGACAGCGTTTATGGCCGTTTGTTGTGGGTAGGTTGCTTGGCGATGGTACCAGATACTAAAGTGTTCTAACCGACAGCAATAACCCAGAGTTCTGCTGGAAGCCATGGTTACTAAAGAATCTCCCTGGATACTGGTTTGTTGTGGGTAGGTTGCTTGGCGATGGTACCAGATACTTAAGCGGAAATACCAGGGAGAGTAGAGTAGAGCAGTAGATTACTAAGACAATATCAAAATATAAACACCAGGATCAATGATCTTTAAACCATGGATTTATTCAGCCCAATATGGTGAGTGTGACATACATGGTCCGTGAGCTAGAGGAGTTCCTTTTTTAATGTAATAATAGGAGCCTGAGCGAGTTGAGGGAAAACTTGTCCATGAGCACGTCCCTCTTTGGCTTCATTGAGCTTGGAGGTTAGCATTTCCATATATATACAGTCTAAGTAGAGTAGAGGGTTAGTGGACATTATATTTGCATGGGCCCGACTCCACATAGCTCTGCGCAGTGAGTAGTGATCATTAGTGTGACACAAACGCTGATACTTTAGCTAAAGGAGGTTACTTGAGCTGGAGGTTAGCATTATCCATCTAATTACATTTTGATGGACAATATATTGACTCCAACCTGAAAATGATTGCGATAATCAATGTTTTTGGTACTTCATGCCACTGATGATAGTACAATAAACCAGGATAATCCCTTCATAGCCTTTAAAAAAATCAAAATAATAATACAATTCATTATAATGCTTGCGTTATGAAAATAAAAAGCACAATTGAGCAGACATTATTTTACATAGGAAGTAGCATAGATACTGTATCTCCACATTTGCAAATACAAATAATGACCAGTAAATATTGAGGCTGACAATTATTTCCATCCCTTGTTGTAGAATAGTTCAGTATAGTAATTATCCTTACTGGCCGAGACACTAACTTATTGCAAAGAAGAGAGTTACTCCCTTTTCTCTAGGCTTGGGTTCACATTATTTGTGTTTACCCAACTTCCCACCACACAATAACATTATATATTGTGTCCATTGTGAGGGACTTTCACAACCTGAACTGCATGGACTGGAGGTCAATTTGTGTTGTTCAAGTAATTATAGCAATAAAATGCGTTGGGTTAAGACAACAATATTCAGGAAATGTTATTCACATTCAACAGAAATGTGAATAATATTTGTCTTCAAAATGTATTTGTTGCGATTTAAGTATCAGTCATATGAGAAATTATAATAAATTGATCTTTTATTGTCATTTGAAAGTTTGCAACATTATTTTAATCAAAATGTTCAATCAAATCATTTAATAAATTACTCAATATTTAAAAAATGCATATCTTTAAAACTACATTGACAATAGTATCTGTCTCTCCATTATCTGCTCACCTCTCGATCGTCAAGGTTACGAGTTATTATGTATGACAATTACAATCAGAGAATCATTGTAACTATTTATGGCAACACTTGACGCTTGCAGATATATATACAACTCTTTTTGAGTTTGTCCAGGACTCCACATCTATATTCATGCTTTTTATTCTTATATACAGGGGTATATTCGCGTCATAGAAATAAATTATTTAAAACACATAAGAAAAGATGAGGCAATAATTCATGAAAATCACACCTGTTTCCATGGTAACAGATTCAGTGCCAGTGGGCGACTGCAGATGTGTGCAGAGGTTAGAGAAAAGAAAGTGTAGCACGCCGCACAGACTAAAAGCACTTTGTTTTGACGGGGGAATTGGTTTTCTAATTGAAGGTGTTTGAGACTGAAACAGATGTGGAGTTTGTGAGATAAATGAATGAAGAGATGAAGCAGCCTCTGGAGCTTTGACGGCAGTAGGACCCTCAGAGGCCCCTCACAGGCACCTCACTGGCCCCTCACAGGACGTGACCAGAAGACGTGAGGTGATAAACATAGACTGTGCTGAGCTCAATCGATGTTCAATCTGGAAAGACTACAAGAGATAACATGCGTTTAAAAGATGTATTGATTGCAAGTTTTGTTTGTAGTTTATTAGTTTGCCGCATAGGCTGTGGCTTTGCTCTGTGAGGATCTGTGCTTGTTCATGTTTTTCAGTTATAAACATAATTTACAATGTGCATACATGACATATAGCCTGGAGATAGGTCTACACTTCTACAAAGAAATATTGGAAATACAGTGATATTGAAACTGACACTCTTCCCTAAATGCCCATTTAAAAATGAATGTGCAGTCAACCAATAAAACATACACAACATTTGTGTTGTGTATGCTGCTACAGTTAAAACACAATTGCATGTACATGTTCTGTCATTTACTGATAAATATTGCGCATGACTAAGTCTATTCTGTATAAACTTTTAACATTTTACTTTTTAAGTAAACGTGTGTTGAGGGAATCCTGTACAATTTACAGTGCCTTGCGAAAGTATTCGGCCCCCTTGAACCTTTCAACTTTTTGCCACATTTCAGGCTTCAAACATAAAGATATAAAATGTAAATTTGTTGTCATGAATCAACAACAAGTGGGACACAATCGTGAAGTGGAACAAAATTTATTGGATAATTTAAACTTTTTTAACAAATAAAAACTGAAAAGTGGGGCGTGCAATATTATTTGGCCCCTTTACTTTCAGTGCAGCAAACTCACTCCAGAAGTTCAGTGAGGATCTTTGAATGATCCAATGATGTCCTAAATGACTGATGATTATAAATAGAATGCACCTGTGTGTAATCAAGTCTCCGTATAAATGCACCTGCTCTTTGATAGTCTCAGGGTTCTGATTAAAGCGCAGAGAGAACCATGAAGACAAAGGAACACACCAGGCAGGTCCGAGATACTGTTGTGGAGAA